CGGAACCGGAAGTTGTGGCGGAGGGGGGAATCCCAGGCACAGAGGTGTCTTGAGACCTCACTCCAGATCCGCCGCCAGCACCAGCTGCTCCGGATCCTGACCCACCGCCTGTCTGGGCACCACCACCGCGGTTGCAGAGCGCCTGCTCAGGTTTGGCTGCGGGGGGTAGCGGAGGGGGGGAGTACTGATCCAGCGACTTATGGCTCACGTGCCGGCAGAAAGGGCTCCGCGTGCCAGCTGTGGCACGTGTGCCATAGGTTCGCCATCGCTGCTCTAAACCAATAAGATGCCTGTTCACCAGCCCAACTCCTTTTCTTGAATGCTGATTGTGAGGATATGGGTTTTCTAGTACTTATTTCCCAGGATTTGCAGGTGTTCATCGTGCCTGGAGACTTTTCCTGTGAAGATGAGCCAAAGCCATTTCTCAGGACTGATAACCAAAACATTCCTTACTAATGGCATACCAGCCACCAGCCTGGATGAGAGAAGGAGCTGTGGAAAGTTACAAGATGGGCGTGGTGTTGCGGACAAAGGACTTTGTGCTGATTGGATATCATGATGGGACAGAGACTTTAATTTAAGTTATGGAAGAAGGGGGTTAAGCAAGTTGTGGGTGTGTAAGTGTAAGTTGGAGAAAGAGAAGAGTAAATATAGTTTACAACCTTTGATGATGGATCAGAGATGTAGCCATGGTAACGTAGAATAGCCAACCCTAGTAAAAGGGTTAGCTAGTAAATATTGTATTGTTTGATGGGAAAGGCTTTCAGAAGCTTACATAATGCCTAGAAGCTTTGTATTTAATAAGTACAATTGTAACTTTTATATTTTCTCTGTTTTACAACTTTTTGCTCTTTTTAAATAAATGTTCTATATTTTACCCTAGTGTGATTCTTGGGGGCAAAGGTGAGACTGCCTAAATGAAGTGCCTTGGCCACGAGGGCTTCATTTGCTATTTTTGGTTATTTGGGTGTCCTACCTGGTAAGGCTGGTGTGCAAGGATCAAAGTACACAGGTAAAAGTTTTAAGCTCAAATAAGTAAGTAATTGGAAATCTAGGGTCAGAAGCTTCCCCATAGTTGCCCACACATGCACATACTAGATCTCACCCAGTCTAGGTTACAAAGGTAGTGGACACTAGGAACAACAGTTTGGCTCCTTCCCTTAGTGGAATGCCTCCTCTAAGGAGATGCATTTCTGACACTGATTTCTAGGGGAAGTCTTCAGAATTAAGGCATGTTGGGGAAGAGTATCTAAATGTGTCTTTTCAGAACACAGAGGCAATCTCAGAAACCATCATGCCTTGACTCCAAGAACATCTGCTGGAAATATCTCTAATCCAGACCTGAAATCTTCAGATCAGTAGGAAGACAAGATTTTAAAAAGTGGTCTGACCCAAATCCAGACCATGCTACTGTGGATAGGGCTATCCTGCAAATCTGTCGGTTATAGATCTTGACACTATCAAAGGCTGTGTTTCATTCCAGCTCTTCCATAGTACTACAGGTATGCTATGTAGGAAATAGAGTGGCTAGCTGGTTTATGCTCTAGTCAGTGTTTACTTGAAGTGGAAGTTAAAGTCTCAAAAGGATCAATCATATGCCCATATTTTGAGTGAGAGGAGATTGATCTGTGGTATGATTTTTTTAAGAGTCTTCCAACTGTAACTCTGTGCTTTGAACAGAAAGATCTTCTCTTCTCTCTTCTCTCAAAACAAAAATTACCTCTCAGTTCTCTTTAAAGGAACTGAGAGAACTAAGAGAAAACAGGAAGCCCACCTGAAACATAAAAAGGAGGGTAAGAGTGCTGGCTGAATCAGTAATAAAGGTGTTGTAAGCCTGTGTGTCAGAGGCATTGAAGAGAGAGAGAGAGAGAGAGAGAGAGAGAGAGAGAGAGAAAAGCTGGTCACAATCCACACCCAAAGAGCTCAGTTTTATTGAAGCTGAAGTACACGGTGCTCATGAACTCTCTAACATATGAATCTTCAGACAGAGAAGATGGCATACTGGTCTTGTGGATAATCCAGGGAGAGAGAAAAATGTAAGAGACAATAAGATATTTTCCTTAAATGGCAGTAAGATTGCAATATGGCAGCTAATATGACCTTATTTTTTATTTTTTTATATACTAATTCTTTTCCTTTGGGTTTTGCCTTATGTGACATGTACTGTTATTAGTGGGTCGCCTTCATGGAATATCTGATCAGGATTTGATAAAAGTCAAAGAGAGAAAGTTGACGTAGATGACAAGGGAGTGAATGGCTTTTTAGGGGAGCTAATCAGTGGAAGATGGCTTCTTGATGCAGAGGTCTCTCCTGGGTACGTGGAATTTATTTATTTATTTATTCTGCCAGTCTAGTAGCAGAGCCCCTATGGGTGACAAACAGAAATCGGAACAGATATTATACAACATGAGAAATGAGAAATAAAAACATCAGGGATCCAGGAGAGACTATGCTTCCTTCTTATTTTAGGTAATGAGAGAGGTGTGATAAAATATGACACAGAAAGAAAGGGAAGGAAAGAGACAGAAAAAGAAAGAGCACAATATGGGAACAGGTATTAAGACAGGCAGAGTCAGCTTTAGTTAAAGGCTAGAAGCCCCTTGACATACAGGCTGCTTCTTTCTGGAGGGTAGTCTTTTCTGTCTGATAAGAGTCCCCTTGCTGCTTCCTACACTCAGGCCTACTCAGTGTAGCTTGGCATATGCCAGGACCCACCACTGCTGACACTTGAGTCAGGATTCTAGAAAGAGGATGTAAAGGTTTTCCTCTGATCCCGTTTGACCCAAACAATGTGTGAAGAATTTTCTCAGTCTTGATTTTGTTGTTTCCTTGAGTCTAACCAGCATTCCCAGGTTGCCTTTTGCTCATATTTGGGTGTGAGACTTTATTTCTTACCCCTGTATGGAAATTTGCACACTACTTCCATATGTGTTTTCTCTAATTTTCCTTAACGATTCATTTTTCCACTAAAAAAACATTTTTGCTGACAAGACTAATGACTCTCCCAGGTCAACTGGTAGATAAAATTACTAAATTTAGACTGTCATGGTCAGGTACTGCTAAAAGGAACAACATGACTTCTCTACTGATACGTCCGATTTCATAAACATTTTAAAGTGCTGTGAGAATATCAATAATAATTTGCCAATTAATTTTTAATTAGGTTTCCAAAAGCCCTTTGAGAAAGTACCTCACCAAAAACTTCTGAGTAAATTTACAAGTCACAGGATAAGAATTCCTATTTTTAAAAAAAGTCATTTATGAGCCTGGGAAAAGGTTAAAGAAAAGGAAGCAGAGAGTAGGAACAAATGGCTGCTTCTCTAAAATGAACAGTAAGATCTGTACTTGGAATTGGTAGCTTTCATCTTCTTCATTAATCAGATGTCATCGGGTGAGTAGAGAAGTGGCCACATTTGCTAACAACACAAATTATTTAGGGAGTGTGAGCAACAACAACAACAACAAAATTGATCGCAGAAAGCTCCCAAAAGATTTAGCCAAACTTATCCGATGAACATAAAAATAGAGAAATAGATTCAGTGTAAGCATTGTAAGTATATAAAGTGATAAAATGTTGGGACTAGAGATGGGGACAAATATAAAAATGAATCGCTATTTTCGACGATGAATATAGCCGTCATATATCCATCAATCCGTATTCAACAACTTGACAAATATTTTCCCGGTTTTATTCATCAATCCGTCGATTTGTCGATATTCATTACCCTTTGGGGGCCTCTCTATGCCATCTCTGAGCTTGCAGGTGCCAATCAGAAGCTCTGACCGATCAGGAGATCCTGGATTGGCATGTCAGGCAGTCAACAGCCCTGCTGAAAGGGCTGTGGGGGTGTACTTTTTACAGAGGCTTTATAAGCTTTTCCCCTGCAGCCATTTCCCACTTCTGATTCTCTTCAGAGTGAGAACAGTTGCTGTTGGCTTGTGCAGGGCAGGGGACATGTTGCACAACACCCCCCACCCCACCCCCAGAGGCATCTTTTCTCTCCTCCCAGACCAGCAGCAACACCCAGACCAGCAGTAGTCAAGGGCAGGCAGTGGATTGTAGTTTTGCCAAACATCACAGAGGGGTCATGTGGGATCATTTCATGGCAGTCAACGATGACCCATGGCTGGCACGCTGCAATGCCTGCCTTGTGGTGGTCCATAGGGGTCAGACCAGAGGCATCTGTCCTCCACCTCCCTCTGCCAACATCTGGAGAGGCACCACCCAAGGCTCCTGTCTGTGGAAGGCACTTTGTCACCACCATCTGGGGAAGGGAGGAGAGCAGCTCCAAGGGGAGATGTGGGGAGGCAGAAGGAGGCACAAAAGGGCAGCCATGGGGGATGGGAACATCAGGCCACGAGACAGAGGAGGGACAGGGTGGTTTGCCTGAGCCACAGGGAAAGGACTTCAGCAGGTGAAGGCCCCATTCCCCATTACTGGAACTCTGTAGTGACCTGGGCACTTGCCCCAGAGGAAAGTCAGACAGCTGAGGAAGATCCGGCAGACACGATAGTGCGGGAATATCTAGTTGAGCCCCCCAGCTCCCCCTCATTACTGGAACTCTGTGGTGACCTGGGCACTTGCCCCAGAGTAAAGACAGACAGCTGAGGAAGATCCGGCAGACACAATAGTGCGGGAATATCTAGCTGAGCCCCCCAGCTCCCCCCCCCCAGTCAGATCTACTCCATTTCTGGGCTAGGAAAGTAGTTATATGGCCAGAGTAGTCCAATGTGGCCACGGACCTCCTTTCCATCCCCCTTGCCAGTGTCCCGAGCGAGTGCATGCTTTCCCAGCTCGGAGACATACTCCGACCACGCCGCTTGCAATTGGATCTCACTAGTGTGGTGAGACTGTCATTAATCAAGGTAAACCTTCCCTTGTTGGGCTTCCCTTCACTGAACCCAAAGAGGTAGGGTTCCAATGACAGTCTCTCTCCTACTAGACCACCTGCCAGCCTGCCTGAGGCCCAATGGCTCTATAACATGTCTGCCAGTCCATGTGCCTGCCTCTCTGCCCGCCTGCCTGCCCATCTGCCCACCTGCTAGTTGTCCTGAAAAAAAAAGCCTGCCTACTTGCCTGCCAGCCTGTAAAACTGCCCGTCAATTAGAAGTCCAGTCACCGCGCCTCCTTGAGCGAAGTTCCAACCAAGTTCTACCTGCCTGCCTGCTGGGTTACATATTTCCAGTGGATTAAGTTTGCCTGACTGCCTGGGAGGAGAGAACTCTTGCCTGGCACAGGTTAAATGAACCACATCAGCTCTGCAATCAGAAGCCAGACGATAGGGTGATGATGGGGTGACGTGAAGACAGCCTTTGGTTGGGGCAGACCCAGAGCCTGTCCTGGCACCCCCGAATGTGCCAAGAGGGCCAGCCTACCCTCTTGGCACACCCAGAACCTGTCCCGGCAGCACCCCTGGATGTGACAAGAGGGCCAGCCTGTTTCAGCCCCCCCAAAACCTCCGAGGACTATCTTTATCATATCTGCGTGGTCTCAGCAGCCAAGTTGCAATCCCGCCCCCAGCTTTGTAGTTCTAAACGAAGATCTTTGTTTGTTGGAAGGTCATCAGCCAGTATGGTTAGATGTTGGTGACTCTGACAGGTGAGTATCCTAGGCCTGTCCTGTCTCAGACCCACCAAAAGTCTGTCTGGGCCTTGCCCCATCGCTCAACTTCAGATTGCAGAGCTGAGCTAATCTGTTTCTGACAGCCCTGCAGCCCTGTGGATTAACCGCTGTTAGTAGCACTGACTCTGTTCATCTGATGGTGCTACTGGTGCTGTTGGAAGTTGCAAGCAACCTCAGTTGCCTCCTGGGG